CAGGAGGGCCCCTCGAGCTCTCCTGCCTCACTTTGGGCCTTACAACAACAAGCTCCTCGTACCCGACCGACTCCACCACAGGGACCGAGGCGTCTTTGTCTCCGTTTGCCACCATCCTGCTGCTGCCTGGCAGACCTGCTTCCTCCTCTTTGTCCGACTCGGAGAAAATACCTGAAGAGAAAAGTTAGTGGGAGGACAAAGCCATCGGTGTCCTTCAGGACTGCTTCACGTGTGACCAACCCTTTGATCCTGGCAGTGTCATTCTCCTGCTCTGTGTAACAGCCCCTCTGTTAGAGTGGGAGGCAAAACAGGCATTTCCTCGTAGGTGTGTCCAGCAAGGTATTTACCACAACCCTCAGGGAAGTTGCGCCAGCAGCTTAGTCTACAGAGGAGAGCAGAGGATAAAGTGGTGCTGAACCCCAACACCTCTGGCTGGCTTTCTCCAAGGTAGGGGAAGGAAAGTGCAGACGGGTCTGTCACACTGCAGGAAGGGGACCACGGGCAGGGATGGCTCCAAGGATGCTGCTGAACTAGGCAAGGAGTTTTTCCTAAAACACGATTAATTTTCCCCTTTCCTGCAAGCAGTTCCTCTTACTTTGACATCCCGCTTGGTGAACAGAGCTGACATCCAAACACGGTGGTGAGGACAACAATGGAAGAGGAACTGTCTGCCGAGGCGTCTCAGAGGCATCCTTCAGCTTCTCAGAGCTCCCTTCTGAGAAAAGAAAAGGGTTTGTGTAACTTCCTTCACCCCTTAGACCCTCTCATCCTCCTGGGCTGATTGATGGTGATACCTCCAAGCCCATTTCTTCAGCTTCCTCCTACGCAGGAGAAGCCGCTTCTCCTCTGTCCTTCAAGAAAGGGAGGGACAGACAGAGAGAGGGACAGTGAGGGCAGGGAAAAAAGAAGACAGAAGAGATGGAGGCAGGGAAAGACAGAAGGCAAAAGCTGAAAGACCTACCAGAAAACCCAGAGCAGCTTTGCTCAGAACATCCCCTCCTTGGGAGACTCCCACCCAGAAGTGCTAGTTAATTGGAGACTTAATTGGGGCTAATTAGTTGGTTAGTTGCCCTGCTATCTGACTCCCTGAGGGATGAAGCCAAAAACCCCCAACCCCTACCCTCTGCCATGAAGAGCAGCGCTGGAAGAGCTGCTGACCTGCGCAACCCATGAGAAGAGGCAAACTCACCCGCCCCCGGCAGCGGAGTGGCCTCGGAGGAACGAGCCCTGGAAAGGCAAGGAGACCGGCATTACACTGAGGAGGGACGGGGCAGGGATGGAAGGGGAAGCAGGAGAAGCCACTGCCCCGCGCGCTGCAACGTACCTGGCTGAGGGTGACATTTCCGCAGGCAAAGCCAGGAAATCCCAGAGGAAGATGGCATCTCCAACGCTGAGGACGTGCCGTTGGTCTGGGGTGAAGGCCACCTGGCACACTGGCTCCGAGTGGCCGATGTAAACCTGGGAGAGAGCATGCCTTGAACTTCATCACTGCGCCCGTCCTATCAGGATGGTAGTTACTGCACTCCCTGCCCTGGGTAGCCTCAGCAGATCATCCCAGAGGTCAGCACCACACCTACAGTGCTCAGACCTAGGGTTGATCGACCTAGGGTTGACCTTCAACACACTGATCTGGAGAAATGAGCAGAAGCCAAAAACCCTCAAGGTCTTATCCTAGCTCTCAATACCTCTGAAACCCATTTTCTTCGCTGGGTGGCTCTGTCCCTGGCACAGAGGTAACACCTACCCCTGTCCTTCGTGGAGGGTCTCCCTAGGTGCAGTGCTCCGGCAGCCCCGGCCCGCGCTCTGTGCACGGCGCAATGATAACATGGGAACGGGGCTGCGTTTCTCAGCTGCTGGGCAAACTGGGACTGGGGACACTGGGCCAAGTCACGTAGAGGCCATTTGCTGCTCTCTTCTCCAGGGATTCAGAAATGCTTGATCAGGGCAACATCGCCCCCCTTCTCTCCCTTTGCAGGCAGTACCTGGAAGTTGATATCGAAGCGCATCCGGTAGTCCCACACTTTGATAACTTTGTCGCCAGCAGTGAGCAGGTACCTGCCATCCTTGCTCAGCGCCAAGGAAGAACAGGACAGCTTGTGCACGGGAGACACCTGAGGACAAGAAACGGCACCACCAGCATTAACTGAGCTAGTTCACGTCCACACTTACGCTTCAGGAGTGTGACAGCACAGAAAACAAGGACAAGCTCAGGCTCACCCTGAGCACGACCACACCAGGACAGCTACACACTTGCCACTCATCTGTTTCTCTGAAGCCTGTGAGCTCCAGCATGAGCTACTCTCTCGGTTAGCCACATACAGTGACATGAAGTGCCAAAGCCCCACACGAAACAAGACCTCAGCGCGCGCATTTTGTAGCGTCCTACCTCTCGCACCAGTCGTCCCGTTTTTGCATCGAGCACAAGGATTTTATTGGAAGAAGTGGACACCAGGAGCTCGCCTTGAGGCGCCGGAGCAAAGCAGACTCTCACTGCAGAGTCCAAGGCCGTGCTGTTCAAATCGAGGATGCTAATGTCCACCCTCAGCAGCTGTGAAACAAGGAGCTACTGAACAAACGTCCTGGAGCAAATACTGCAGAAGCCTCAGATCGCTCTCGTGGCTCTCCTAACGTGAGGCTACGGAGACCCCAGACCCTTCCCTTCCCACCTAATGAGGGGCTGCAGGGTCCAGGCAATGTCCCTACTGCCCAGGAGGGCCACTCACAAAGAGAGGTTGGAGCTGACTGTCTACACAAAGCTTCTCCAAATTATCTGTCTAGAGGGGAACGAAGCCGGAGATGAAGCAACCTTGACTTTGTTGTTTCTATCTCACAGAATGAAAAACAAACCTCATTGCAAGCACCCTGAGCAAGCATCTGCTGTGCAGGGAAGGGCTGTCTCCAACGCGGCTGGTGCCCAAGGCCCCCCCCGATCCATCTCATCTGATGCAGCCCATGGCAATTTCCCCTGTGGCACGTGCTCCCCACCCTCCCCCAGGAACACGGGGAACCTGCTGGGTACCTCATCTAGAGAGCAGGCCTCCATCACGGTCACAACGTACTTGGAGGGACCCACGAAGGCCAAGAGACGGCTGTCCCCACTGACCACCAAAGCATCTGGACCGCTCCCAGCATCCCGGGCCACCACGTTACCTGAGGACCACAGCAAGAGAGAGAGTGAAGAGAGGAGCAAAGCTCACGCTGCAGTCAGCTCACTCCGTGATGGTGCTGCTGATCGCTGGCTGCAGCTTCTCCTGCCTCCGAATCAGCCTTGGGTTAACGTTCTGGCCTAAGAAAGAAGCAACCTCTGTTGTAGAAGATGCTACAAATTTTATCTGCAACACCCAAAGCATGCAGTGAACTACCTCAAAGACAAGGGCTGGATACGTGCCTTGTCACCTGACTGAACGCGTGGTGTTTTCAAGAAGAGCAAAACAAAGTCAAGGGAATAAAATTGATTTTAGCGCTTATTTTTTAACATTACAAGAAGCTGTGACAAGAAGCTATGAACGTGAGATCTCGGCTGCAGCCTGGGCATCTGAACCCTGCGCAGAATGAAGTCAGTGCCGAACCCCACCATGCTGATGTCAGTCCGGTGGGCAGATAGACCCAAAGGTCTAAAAATCACAGAAATTGGAGCAATTCTCTGTATTAATTCCACTAGCAGAATTCCACTGTTCTGTCCCTGGAACACGGCCAGGCAGCAAACACAGTTTCAGAGCAGAGTCAAAACGTGAAGGTCCAGCTGCAGCACTGACACCAAACTTGGGTGACTTTGCACAAATTCCCCGATCTCAGAGCCCCTTTTTCCTTCTCCACCTACTTCAACTGCACATTTCTTGGGGCACGATCCTCCTCTTTGTACAATATCGCATAACGGAGCTCCCTTTCCCTGCCACAGTTCGTTTCAAAAGCGTACGTTAAACACAACATTCATGTTTCAAAGCTTCCTTGCCCCTGCATACAGCTTTCCACCTTCTCTGCTCACCAGCGCGGCTCTTTGCGCAGGATTAGGGAAACCTTTCAGTTTTAAACAAATTAAACTGCACCTCCACTGAAGGAAAAGAGTCAGGGCTTGGGCATGAATAAGTAGGAAGACTCCGCACATGTTGCTTCTAAGTAATGCACTGTTGAAGCCAGACCTGGAAGGGCAGGTCTCTGCGATTCAAGCGCATTCATGAAATTAAAAGACCAAGCAAGCTGAGAGCATTTGAACCAGGACAGGTAGGGAAGGGTTGGCACACGCATACGGTATGAACACAGCTCAGAAGGTTCATCAGAAAATATCTCTCTGAGTAGGCTGAGTCTGGTTTGGCTTTGGTGCTAGGATGTCTGCGCTACCAAAAAAAGAAGAAAGGCAACCCAGAACTCCAGAGTCTTACCCAGGACTCTCAGGACGTGGCTTTTCTGCGCCATAGAGCTGTAAAGAGCCAGAGTTCCCTGCAAACAGGAGCTGAACATGAAATTGCCATCCGGAGAGAAGGTCAGTCCAGTGATCACAGTGCGGTGCTGCCTGAAAGAAGGTAGAAAACACGAAAAAGGGGAGGAAAACAATCAAAAAACCCCAGAAAACATAGGAATGTGAAAAACCCAGGGGAGCAAAATAATCAGGGGCGGGCAGAGGAGCCCACAGGGCTCACGCCTGCAGCAGCCCAGGACAAATCAACTCTCCAACTTTTCGGAAAGCCAAGCAGCAAGTGCAGCACTCCAGCTGTCCCTGGATGGGACATGGTCCCTCTCCCTCTGGAGCATCCTCTGCTTCCCATGCCAAGGCTGGCAAGGGCTCCCTGGTCAGCTGCTCTCTAGGACAAGCCTTTTCTTACTGTTGGCCAGCTCTCCACTGGGAAGCCGTAAAGAAAGCCCTCACAGCCTTCGCCAGTTGGACTCTTACCACCAGAGCTCTGGCACAGCAGGTTATCTCTGCCTGAAAACCACTCAGCTGAGACGTGAGCATTGTCAAGCTCAAGAAAAGCACTTTTCCCACCTCCACGATTATCGCTGTGACTCTTGCCAGGACACCCCCCAGTTAGACCAGTACCTGCCCCGGTGCAGCTCCCGCGGCAAGCCCTTACTTGTGCTCCACCAGCAGATCGGAGGCAGCCAAGCTGAAGGTCCGCACCATCCCGCTGTCAAAGCCACAGGCCAGGATCTGCTGGGTCGGGTGAAAGGCCACAGCGCACGGCATTTCATCTGCAGCTGTGAAGTCATACAGCTGCGGGGAAGAGACACACAGCAGGGGCAAAGCTGGATAAAGCTGTACCTAACAACTAAACAGCCTCAGACCTCTACTGTGAGCGTGTCCCACAACAGAAATCTCATCCTGCCTGGATGGATCTAATGCCCAAGGTAAATCTCGGGTCTTTGGGTATTTGAAGCCCTTGGGTATTATGTTTTGTGTTAAAAAGCAATATTCAAATGATGGAGGAAAAGAAAATTATTTTTTTTTAACAATACCTTCAAGAAGCTAAAGCCAAATTTGCATTAAGCTAAAACTCTCAGAACTCTGTACTTCCAAAGGTTTTCTTGCCCACGGTACCCTCCCTGGGCTTCAGGGAGGACATTTAAGGGCTCTTGAACTATGGAGCTTTGATAACTAGACCAGAGACCAGGGAGACTGTTAATAAATGCAAGACACCTACTGACTCTCGTCTCACCTACCTGCTGCATGGAGACGAGGTCCCAGACTCGGATGGTACTGTCCCGAGACACCGTTGCCATCTGCTTCCAAATCCCCTCCACCGAGAACGCCAAAACGGAGTCCTCGTGAGAGCGCATGAGGGTGTTATAGTCCCGGGACTCGATATCCAGGTAGCCCAGATTCCCAGCAGCCGTCGTGCACAAGACCTTGCGGCTGTCCGGGCTGATGCAGACAGAACTCACCGGAGCCTCGTGCTCTGGGGGAAGACACAGGAGTCAGCAAACCCCCCTGGAAAAGCTGGAGCACAACTACCCAGCCAGATTCATTCACATTTAGGAAAGTAATGCACACAGGAACAAGCATCCCACGTGATCTCACGACCGAACGTCTGCAGGTTTGAGTTTAGTGACAAATTAGTCTCTGCTGTTACGATGGTTGTTTCAAAAAGAGTGGAGAACTGCTCAACTTGTCCCTCAAGTTTTCATGGACAGAAGAGCCATGGGTACAAGGGCACAGAACTCGGGACCGAGTGCCTGCTCTCACCCAGGAGATCCTGCCTTTCTCCTACGAGTTACAAGAACGAACACGAATAATTGTTGTTGAAGTAAAAGACTTCCAAGCCAGCCACCCACCCCTAGAGACGGCAGGCACAAAAGATGCCCTCGTTCATGAGAATTGCTTTAGAAGATGTGGCAGTGGAGCTCTGGCTTCACAGCAGCAGGCTGATGGAGATGCAGAGCTCAGGAGCACCGGTCCCAGCTCTACTCACCTGCCTCTAAGACAACGGCTGAGAAGTCCAGCGGCCACAGCCGCAGGTAGCCGTCTTCCGAACCCGTGGCACAGAAGGTTGAGGAGACGCTAATACTGTTTATAGCGATCCCAGGGCCTGAAAACCCCAAAAGACAACACAAGGTATTGTACATTTGAAACGAGAAAACTCGAGCTGAGGGTTGCCCCCTCCAAGAACCGACTCCAATGGTCCAACCGCACCAGCGGCTGAAGTCGGAGAAGCAGCAGCCAGGAATCCCACAGTGACAGTACAGGCTGAGGAGGCTCAGCTAGCCCTTCTCCGGACCCAAACCGTGTTCAGTCCCCATCCCTTTCCAGCACTCCTCTTTACCGTCATGCAACTCTCGCCAGGCACAGAAAAATTCTTACCACTTTCTAAACCCTGCCACATTTTTTGCCTTGAACAGGATCTTGTGGCAAGGGATGTCCTGGATTAACTGTCTGAGATACAAAACCCATTTCATTTCCATGTCTCAAATCCTCTCTGCAGTGTAGTGAGTAGGGAGAGAGAATACAGATCTAGAGAAACTGGGATTTTTTGATCCGAGTATAAAGTCCATCGGTCAAAGTGCTGGCGAGAGCCAGCCTGGCTACCAGGACACCCAAGGACATTGTTTCATCTCTTCTCGGGCGTTTTCTCGCCCACGAAGTGAGAGCCGAAGTTACATACCTCTCAAAGGGGCATGCTCTAGATTAATTAGCTCAATTTGCCAAACTACGCGCTAAGTTTTAAGATATCAGAGCAATCGCACTTGAAAGTGAATTCTTCCTGCTGTTAAAATTAATGGAAGAGCTGAAAGCTGTACTACTTGGTATACAGCAACAAAGATTTCCCAAACACTCTGCACAGGCTGAATAAAGAAAAAAAAAAATCACCAAATTCATCTTTTTTTCGTTGCTCTGCTTAGCTCTTTTTCCATCTCTACATTAAGACTCCCATCAGCAAATTAAGACCTTGTTTCATGTTTCTAAAAGTAGTGTTTCTCTGAAAGTGCAATCAGCATTTAAAATGCTAAAACTCTTTCTTAAAATGATACTTTGCTGTACTAAGGAAGATTATTTGTAGTTCTTAAAGAGGCAAATAGCTAGCAATGATCTAATCAACCCAAAATAATCCTTAGCGGTAGGTAAATAGCTGGTTCGTTTTACCAGAGGTTGGTTTGTCATTTCTGCCCCCGCTGATGGTTGAGGCGCTCCCTGCCTGCAGACAGTCCTACCTGCGCTGCTGCCTGCCTTCTCCTGCCGCTGGCAGCCCCGGGGCTGTGCGGGCAGGAGCCGCCGCACGCTCCTCATGCAGACGTTCTTGTAGTCCACCTCCAAGACGTGGCCGCTCTTGCTGCAGACAAAGCTGTAAAGGAGAGAGACCCCTGATCTGGCACCCTGGGGTTAAGAGGAGCTGTGCCGGCATGGTTTAGTAAAAACCCAGCTTATTTCACCTGTTAAACTGTTCGCCTGATGGAAAGCAATTCTGGTTCAGAGTAACCTAACAGGTCAGCGAGGTGTCCAAGGGCACCCTACAAATCTACGACCAAGTCAGAGCTAGGGTTTTATTTCTTGTCCCTTTGAAACATTAATTAGCAAAAGAGCAAAAAGCTCGGCGTGGACTTCAGAAAGAAATCTCTCTCTGCCACAGGACACAGCCTGGGGGAAGGCAGGGCCAGCGGAGCCGACAGCTCTGCCTCTGTGGAACAGTACGTGGTAGCAACAAAGGTCTGGCTTTGATAATCAAAATAAACCAATAAAAAAAAGTGCCTATCTGTCTATACGCAACAGGACATGCGCCGCACTCCTCCTGCTGCCAACAGAAAGCTAACTGCAAGCCTCAGGTGGGGGAGAGATTCACTAAAAATGGCAAAACGTAGATATGGCAAGAGGAAAGACCCATTTCCTGGGCTATTCTGCAAGCTGCCAAATCTCCTTGGGGAAGCGAAGCATGCTGAGGAGGGGAGAGGCTCTCCCAGCTCAGGAGGCACCCGTATTTTGCAGGGAAAACGCAAGCAAGACGCAGTGATCGCACAGAGGAGGGGGAAGGAGGATGCTAAAGGCAACCGAGAGCCGTAAAAGGGAGGGATGGGTGACGGTGGAACCCAGCAGCCCCTTACAGCGTGCGGTCCTCTGGCTCCCGCTCGGCCACGTGTCCCTCCTCGAAGGCCAGGTCGGTGAACTCCAGGGAATGGTACTCGCCCAGATTGACAGGACATGAACGCAACGCTCCGCTCCGCACTCGCCACAGCCTGACGTTGTCCCGGCCGCACGACACCATCCTGTCCCGGGAGAGATTGCGTGAGGATCGGGGCAGGACTCCCCAAGCCCCTGGGGAAAGATCGGTGTCCCTGACGGCAAGGACCGAGAACAGGAACGGCAACTGGATGGCCGCAGCACCACGATTTCAGCCGTGCCAGAACCCATGTTTTCTGTTTATTTTCTTCGCACGCTACCTGGTATCATCAAAAAAAGCAATCTTCAAGGCCTGGATGTCCACATCCGTGTGCGCTTTGGCCAGCACGGCCACCTCTCCGCCACGGGTCACTTGAGCAGCGTTCCACACCACCACCATCTGAAGCAAAAAGATATGATGGCAGAGCTGCTCAAACGTGGAAAACTTGGCAGTAAAAGAGCTTTTCATCACAGCAGCTGACCAGCTGCACGTACAGGAGCCTGCTCCGGAGCTGGGCACAAAGTATTGATAACAGAATTGAAGCAGGGGGAAAAAAAACAACCCAAACCCTCTTGCACAGAGGGTTTAGGACAGTCCAACAGCTTTGCAAAGCTTCACAGCAATATATTTGTCTGGCATTCATAATTATAGGTTCTAAATCCCAGGGCTGCCTGGCAACGGGACTTGGAAAGAAAATCCACAGAGGAGTGGGAACTCTGTCTGCCGAGATAGGAGAGCTGTGCCGGGGCTGAGCCGCTCCGCAGGAGCTGGAGGCTGCACGTGTCTGGCTGCACAGGCTCTCGCAGCGCTTTGATGCGGGTTTGTGTGCTCGCAGCACCCATCACGAGGGGCAAGAGAGTCAAACCCTTTCCCCAAAGGAAAGGGGGAGATGGGTGAAGAAATACAAGTGATTTGACGCTCTGCGTTTCAGAACAATGTTAAAAAATGACCCAGCGTCACCTCAAAGGCCGGGGTGGGCTGAGGCATCACCCTGGGAGAGGTGCTGCTGGCCAGCCCCCCCTGCCCCAGCACCCCCCCGTTCTCCCATCCTGCTTTCGCCCTATTGATCTCCCTCTCCCCGGTTTCAGCTCGCCAGCTCCCACCCGGATCCCAGACCACTGCCGCGTGCCGGGATCAAAAACAACGGAGCGCTGTTTGTTTTTTCCTGCAGGCAATTAGCGATGGCACAGCTAATTGCTGGTGGCTGTCAATAAGGGATCAGGGGATGAAAACAGTTCCACTGATAAAGCAAAACCCCCCAGTCCCATGAAACAATTTTATTTTTGACTGCTACACGTGGGATTTGCGTCATCCCCTAGCTACATCGGTGGGTGGCAGCTTCAGTGCCCAGCATCCCTTCCAGCAGCAATGCTTAGAACTGAAAGATTAAACCTCACACTTTGCCCTTAAATGCTATAAAAAGGGGGTTTTTTGGCTCTAATCAGTGCTGAACTTCCCATTTCAATTCCCATTCCTCCACTACGTGCTTGCAAGCCTTCCAGCTCAAAATACCACACAAACCCGTTCACCCTCAGCCCCGGTCGGCCAGAACGGCTGCGGAGCTGGGCGGCAATGCTGCGAGCCCTGCAGGGTGCAGGCAGAATCACCCCGCCTGGGCGCGCAGCTGGGACCACACCAGGGACAGAAACAGCCCCAAAGCTCAACCCGAGCAGGGCTTTCAGGCTGCTTCCCAAAGCATTTGTTGGCTTGCAGCGGAGGACCATGCATGCAAACACTCGCAAGCATCAGGTAGAAGGGAAGTATTTTCTAAGCAGCTGATGAGAAAGGGATGTCCCTCTGACTACAGTGAAGAACGTGTCTAGGAAAGCCCAGAGCAGAGGTTTGTCTGCAAAATAACTACATAATCTGGGAGAACAGCCACCTCACGTTGTGTGTGCGCAGGGTGGGGAAACCTCCAAACCCAAGTGTTAGTCCTCACCGTTTTGCCATGCCCGTCCTTTCCGACGCCACACAGAACGGCTCCGCTGTAGGAAAAGCTGCAAGAAGAGGCCGCCTGGTGAAACGCAGCTCCTTGTACCCCGAGCGCATCTCAGCGGGGAATAAAAGGAGTCAAGTTGTGGGTGTGGGGAGACAGCAAGACCTGAGGGACAGGCTCAGGAGGGAGCTGGCAGCGTATCGGCTGTTCCGGGCCAGCTGCCAGCAGGTTTCGGTGATAAACACGGGCAGCTGAAGCAGAGCTATAATTCACCCCTGTTTATCACACGCAAATAGCACAGAAAAGCCGCCGTGCTGCCGCACTTCACCCACCTGAACGCATCCCCGCGCCCAGGCTGAAACACCCACCTCAGGGACAAGAGGGAGCGGACGTGGGTTTTAAACACCGAGAGGCAGCTGCCCGTCGGGAAGTCCCAGAGACGCACCAGGCTCAGGGGGCCAGCCTGCGCGGAAGCCAGCAAGGTGCTGCTCCCGTTGAAGGCCAGCGCCGACACCTGCAAGAAGCGCCAGATTAGAGGCTCTTGAGGAGATTTGGGACCTGGGGGGCACATCTGGGGTAAGAGGACAGCGCTGCGGAGGGGCTTTATAAGGAGAGTTCCACTCACCTTATCTGTGTGTCCAATGAAGAACCTCTGCTCTCCGGTCTGGATCTGCAGGGTCACTATAACGGCGTGGCAGGGGTAGACCACCGCAGCGTTGTCTCGAGTCCACAGCGCCTGCAGGACCGAGACAAGACTGAGAGGGCTGCAGATCCTCCGGAGGTGCCTCAGGTCCTAGGCTGGACCTACAGAGATTTCTTAAACAGGTGGGAGACTTGGAGATCTGCTGCACATCTTGTACGGGAGAGCATCCTCTCACCTGCACGGGTACTCTTCTAACCAGCAAAGGCAAAATAAGAGCCCAGCCAACATCCTGGTTAATTCAGTGGATTTACCATCCCAATCGTGTCTACTACATGAACAGCAGGTACAAGGAAAATGATGTTGTTGGCTGCACCAAACCGGCCCTTTCTTTACTCTAACACAGACCGCAAGCTGGGCTCCTGCCAGGCACAGCACCCCACAGAAACAACCCTAACCACAGCCCTTCCTTTTCAGGCTCCTACAAAGCAGCTCTAATTTTAATGGGTTAAAATGCAGAAGCTATGAGGTCTAAAAAGGCCCCCATAATTTCTAGTTCACCGTCGTAACAGTGGAAGACCCGTGCACAAACATAAACTCGTGCCCACCTGCTTTGGGGCCGTTTCCCCCATCAGAAGTGCAGGAAGGGGGACACTCAGCTGCCTTTCGTGCCTCAAAAAAAAAACCAACCCAAACAAAACCAAACAATCTGTGATGACACACAAACTCCCCAAACTGTCCGATCTACTGACCCACTTGGTGCTGCAGCCTCCAAAGCCAATAATCATTCTCAGCTTCAGGATGGGATCTGGTAAGAGCGTCTGGGGAAAAAAAAAAAAGAGCCAAATCAACAGACAGCACCATCACATTTAGAGCAGGACTGAGGTTCTCTGCCCACGCGGCCCCTCCGTCCCCACCGCTAGTTTCTCTCTAAAGCACAGAGGCAGCTTTGGGTTCTGTCCCGTTAAGGGGATGGCTTTAAAGTATTTAACCGGGGAGAAGTCAGATTGGGAAGGAAGGAGGAGCTGGTATTTCCCAGCGTTAAGCAGCTCTCCCACCCACGCTGGGGGGGTTACAGCCGGCCCTTCCCTGCACCCTGGCAGCACCCAGAGAGCCGGTGGCCGCTGCGGAAGGGCTGTCCTCTTACCCTGCGGGCAGAGGCTCTCCTGCCGGACGGCACGCCTGGTCCAGGGCCCTTCCCGTACACGCTCTGGGCAAATTAGTAAACAGACATTATTGGCTTAAGGTTGGTGCATTCGAACACAAGGTCCCTCTTTCAAGGCAAGTAAGATCCTAGTGGAAAGGGAACTGCTAGTCGGATAAACATAATCCCAGCAAAAGGACTTCTGCAGGATGAACGGAAACTCCAGCCTGAAGCTTGCGTTCCCTCTGCTGCTTCTCCCGCGCTCGCAAGCATCAGCCGTAAGCATCCCAAAGCCACCCTTGGGTGGCTGCGACTCCTCAGCGCCTCACCCACCTCCTCTGAGCCGCTGTGGATGGCTCGGATGGTTTGTTCGCTCCTCCGGTGAGCGTACACATGGATGCTACCATCCCCGACTGCCAGTGACCGCCCCGCGTCCCCCGTGCTACGTGGTCTCTGATTCTTCTCCAGCTCCTGGTCTGCAGCAGGCACGGCTCTCGGAGGCCCTGGGGCTGTCAGGTGAACCTCAGGGATGTTTTTTGTCATTACAGGACACCGACGCGGCATCTGAGAAGGAGCAAAATCTCAGAGAGAGAGCAGCCCTCCACCCACCGCAGAGATGGGGAGACACTCGCGCCTCTCCCAAGTGACTCTTGACAGCAACACAAACAAGGACGGAGCAACGCGGAGGGAGAGCGTCCCTGTGGGTACCTAACTCAGCCAGGTACGTTAACCAGCCGCTCTCCCTACGCTCCTAGTGTTGTCTGCACGTGGTTCACCTCCTCCACACAGCAAACCAGAGCCCCGGGAAAGACCCGGCCCTGAACAGTCTCTGTAAGAGCTGCCCTCTCTCCAGCGAGCAAAGGAGGCTAAAAGCGCCCGGCCAGCCAGCTCGGCACATCCCGGTTCAGAACAGCAAAGCGGTCGTGCACCTTTGTCTTCTCCCCCAGTTTCTCTTCAAAAGCCCATCACCGCGTTGTCTGGTAAGCCGGTTTGAGCACCGGCTCCTGCATCACCACCAGCAGGGAAGGGAAAATCAGCGACAAAGGCAGCTGCCTGCAATCCAGACTCCACACACCGCGCTGCTCCCTGAGGGCACCCGATCGAGTTCTTTAGTCTCCAGTCCTCATTTCCTATCTATAGTTTGAAGACATAACTATTTGCTGCCTCAGCTGAGACAGGGAGGATAGATGTCTGGGGATTACAAGGAACTTGGCATTTATCTTGTCTCTGCTCCGTGCTACTGGACCGCCCAGTCATTAACTGCGGGGCCGCGGTCAACAGGCTGTGCCCGGATCGGGGATCTGACCTGCCCCGATCAGCTGCAAAGGACAACAAGCACCTTCTATGTCTTAAATAAAGGAACTCAAAAGCCAAAACGTGGGGAAAACTCCACAGGAGGCAGAAAGGAAGAAGTTGCAGCCTCCTCCATGGCGCACTTACAGCTTTGGGACTGGTTATCTGATGGATGAGGGACAGTCGATCACGTACGGCTTTGGTGAGCATCACCGGCTGGGGCAGCTGGCAGACGGGGTCCTCCGAGACTTGGCCACCTGGGTGACACGAGGAGCGGGTTGGGTTCTTTCGGAAACCCGAGGCATTCACCCGGGGCGGCGCAGCCTCGGCTGCTGTCCCCAGACTTCCCACCTGCCGCAGGACCCGAGCAGCTCTTCTGGATGAAGTCGTACGGCAGCTTCGACCCCTCGGATGGGAACCTGAGCAAAATCAGAGGAAGGCGCTGTGTAATTGGGACGCTGCACCGGCACCCAGGAATCTCATGTGATAACTCACTGCCCGGCACAAAAGCCTCCTCACCATCTCCTGTGAGATTCCTCCCTCCTCCCCCAAATACAGGGATACTAAAGCACCTCCCAGGTCTGATCTACACCGTTACTTTCCAGGGGTCAGCTCGGCACTGCGCTCGTTTCAGGCAACGCCGCTAAACTGATGACTGCGATGAGCTGCAGTTTATGACCGAGGCAGTTCTCTGGCAAAAACCTCACGACCGATGGGAGCCCAGCACCGAAGCCGAGGACGGTACGCTTACTTCTGCCCCGCAACGAGGCGTCACGGCCGATCACAGCTCAGCAGCCCCTGTCGGACTACCCTTTAGCTCAGCAAGAGGCCTGAGGCGCGCCCTAGGAACGGCACGCACAGAAGAAGGGTTTGCATCGCACTACGTTAGCCACGGGAGCAATCCCAGCAAGAGATCATCGAGAGAGGGGACCGGTGTCAACGTCAGGCACGGGGGTGGCTCTACGGCCTTTTTCCTGCCCCAAAATAGCACCCATCAGCAATTAAGCTTAGCCCTGGGTAGATGTGCTAACGACACCTAAATGCTAGAGTTGAGGTGGCCAAAATATCTCCGCTTCACCCCAGTTTTGTCCGGATCTGTCATTCCCTAAGCAGCGTAACCTGTCCTGCCTCCCCCCGGGGAACGGGGAGGTCTCCGAGCCGCGGTGGGTCCAAGCGCAGCCGGGAGCAGCCATACCTGATGTAGTCGTAGAGGTCGTGCCAATTCTCTCCCTTCGGCACAGGGAAAGCCATTTCCCGCGGCATGGGAGCGACCCCGCGGCGGGCCAGGTCGGTTTGCCGGGCTTCGGAGAAGGTCACACCTGGTGGCACAGAGATAATAATAAGTTCTCCGAGGCCCACGGAGCTGGCTGAAATCATGTGTTTCCCACCGGACATGGGCACAAATCCCTTCCCTCTTTGAGAAGACCTGAAAAAACAAAAGATTACAACCCCCACGTCTGTAACAAACTAACACACCTTGGCACAGGAATATTCCTGAAACTCTCAACCTCCAAAAGATGACCCCAGAGCATAAACCCTCGGCATCGAATTAAAAATCCGCCAGGCCCAAGATCCACTTAGTTTTGTATTGAGCGATTCAGCAGTTTCACGTGATTTGCGTTGAGGCTCCGTTCTCATTTTCTTGTCTTCTTTCCTTCATGTGTTTGTAACTTCATGAAAGTCTTCAAGATATAAGAAATTTCAGGAATCTGAAAGCGGCATCTGTACCTTCCTCCTCACTGATGCTTTCCAGCTGCCAGTCAGTTTGGGCAGATTTCCAGCCCGAAAATAAAAAAAAAGAAAGGCAGAAACAAAGATTTTGACTGAAGTATCTCTGCCACACGGAGCAGGTGGATAACAAAAAGTACCTTGGAAGATTTCTGAGACAAAAAAAAAAACCTCACAGGCTCTTCCGGCAGATAAAAGCACAGGTCTTGGAGAAATGAGGCTTGGTAACACCTTTATTTTTTTCCCTGAAAAAAATATCTGGTAAAATACTTAATTTTGTTTTTATCATTCCCTTTTACAGCTGGAAAACGAGAGGACAGTTTCCTCCAGTGGTCAGGAGATTGTATTCACCAGCGCGTGTGGAAATTTTACGTCATATTACGTATTTTACCCTTTCTGCTTCACACCCTGCTGCCACAGTAAGGGCAGCGAACGGCCCTGCTGGCATCACGCCTGCAAAAGCGAATTTAAACCCCGACGGGTTCCATCCGGGCTGGGTGGAAATCACAGGAGAAACCGGAGGCCGCCCCGAGGTCTCGTCTCCTCACCTGGGTCGAACACCAAGTCGCTCGTGCAGAGGTTTTTCACCAGCAGGTTGGAGCAGAGCTTGATGCTCTTCAGGTGGCTGTAGCGGCGGTTGAGGTAGAGGGAGAGGACGGAGCGAAGGTCGAGCACCAGGCAGGTCCAGCGCGCGTCGGCGGGGGCTGCTCCCGCGAGACCTGGGGAGGAGAGCGGCAGGTGGCAAAAGAGAAGAGGGGAAAAGACGCTGCAGAACGGGAGACGCGAGATTAACGCGGTTAAGGAAAAAGTATTTACCGGGCAAGACTCGCGCCAGGCTTGGCTCGTCTGCGCCAAGACGGGAGATGGGAAAACTCGCCCCGTAGCTTGGTACCACAGCACGGGGTGGGGGAGCACAGACAAGCAGCCCCGCTGCCTCCATGGGCTTGGGCCTGACGCCGCACCCCACCGCTGGGGAGACGGGGGACGTCCCTCCCGGGAGCTACAGCTGAGGGTCTCCTGCTCAGGACCTCCCCTCTTCACCCTCCCCGAGCGCGTCAACTTCTGAACTCAATTTGTTTCCCCGCAATTTATTTTGGCGGCGATGTGCCAGCGCAGCACCACACACGCTCCTCACCGCGCCTGGCCGTGCGGTCGCACGCCGAAGCCTTGGCCGCTCCGCAGATGAAGGGGAACTGCAGCCAGGTGGCCGTGGCTTTGAACTCCTTAAAGAGGTTGGAGAAAGAGACGCGGACCACCTGGTTTTCCTGGGAAGACGGGGACACACGCGGAGCTTTAGTCACCCTGGTGGCTTCGGCAGGGAAACGCTGCAGAGGAGAAAG